AGTGATTAATTAGGTTGAATTATCAGATGGACTAAAAAGCAAAGTATTTTTATTCTGGAAGGAGAACTCCTTGACCAAAAAGAAGGAGAAGATTAAACACTGTGCAGGCTTTTCAACTTTGAATATCAACAAAGTGCTTCTAAATAAATTCAGCAGTAAAAAAGAAAGACAGATAGTTCTGAGAAAATGCTTGTTCTAAAGACTGCTTGAAAAAAATCCAGTCTGGAAAGTGGAGAACTCTCCAAATCTAGAGGTGATAAATTTGCGACTCAAGTCATGTCCTAGTTTTGCCCATATACAGTAGCACACACTTGATTTTCATAAGATATCAAGTAGCTGAAGCAAGTTCACAGCACACACTTCGAGACCGCTTAAAGTACAGCAGGATTTCTGAAGTCTAGTAGATATGAACTCTAAAAGTAGATATGGCATTCCTTCCTTTGTATCAATGCTCTGGGTAGTTCAGGACTGCAACCAGCAGCTAAGAAAATACGTACAAATGGAAATGCCATCCCTGTTTTAACTCTTGGCATTGGAGCTACAAAACCCAGATACATGGAAGCAGTGTGAGGTTGTGTTTCTATGTCTTTCCAGCTGTATGAAACCCCTGGTTTTCTCGAAGAGTCACCCAAGGGGATAACTTACTCTTTCTTCAAACATTTTTTTGTGTTTTTATTACTAAAGGGGAAGTGCTGCAGGACTTATTTAGGGAGTGATAGTGGATGACAGATTAAATATGAGCTCACAGTGAGAGACTGTAGCACAAAGAGGCAAATACCATACTGGGATGTGGAGCAGAATTACTTGCAAGACTACAGAGGTAATAATTCCTCCATACATGGCCCTGGTGAGGCCCCTCTTGGAAAACTGTGATCAGTTTTGGGCAACTCAATATAAAAAGGGAGTCAATAAAATAGAGTGACTACAATGAACAGTGATAAAGATAAGAGGGTTGGAAGGTATGATGTATGAGCAAAAGGTAAGGGAATCAAACTTACTAAGCACAGCTGAAAGATGGAGGAAAGGAAAGGGCAAGGGGAGAAAGGACATGACAACGCCTCAGTATTCCTACATGGGTGGGAAACTTTGTGGCTGCAGATGTATTTCAGAGACAGTGAAAAAAAAGTTACATTTTTCATGGAAAATTTAAGAATAAGTTTTAACAAATCCCTTGCTCCTCCTCCTCATCTTATAGACATATTTTGGTTGTGGGAGGGAAGAAAGTAATTCATTGGGGGAGGAGGGGAAAGGAACATTTTGGAAAGAAAATAGATTTTCTCTCAAGGAAAAAAAAAAAGAAAACAGACCAGAGTACACATGTCTACACATACAAACACAGGTTTTCACACACTTGTATATTTTGTCCCCAAGAAAAACACATTAATGGAGCATTACTAGCTGGCTCTCATCAAAGGCTGATCTTCAAAACTTCATCTGTTCTCTAAAAAATTAGATTTTCCTGGGTAACTTTATCACATTGTGGCCCACCTCACAACTCATGTAATCACTCTCAGTACTACGATGTTCGTCATCATAAAAGGGCAGCATTGCACTTGCAAAGGCTTCCTTCTGGATGGATTAGATGGTCTCCATATGGACTAGTGGTCAGGGAAGAGCAGCTGGCATTGCTCTGAAATAAGAAGAGCTCTCAGATTTCAAGCTGCTGAAACCTCAACCTGCTTGGGTATCTCCAAGCACTCAGGCAAACATGATTAATCACAAGGTGGCTGAGCCAGGCTGGGGGTGGGAGGAGCAACTGAAGCCAGAGTAGATGAAGACTCTGTAGTTCAGACAAAGCTAGTTTGGAGCTGAGGGGGGGATGACACAATAAAAAAAACTCTTTTGCACTGTTCATTCCCACTCGTAGTTTTGCATTAGCTCAGCTGCACACCTGCAATTAATACATGAAATTGTCTTCTGGACATGATCTGTTTTATGATGTTGTTTGCATAATCCTTCCACCAGCCTGCCTTATTCCTGGAAATCTGTGACTTTTCTTCAACTTCCTAATCACTGTTCTGGGGGAAAAAAAATACTAGAACCAAACCAAACACTAGAACCAAATTAATTGTTTAACCAATTTCTTCCTTTCTCTCTCCCTCCCTTACTTTTTCCAGGACAAGTAACAGAGCTGGAGCCTCTTGCTGACTCAACAATATCTTTCTCCTTCCAACTATTCTTTTGACTGGCAGTGTGTTCTGCTTATAAATCTTCCACAAAAATTGGTGTTCGCTTTTCAAACCTTCAACTCCAAACACAATTCAGCCTTTAAATTTATTAGACTGCATTTATTTTCCCTGTATATTCTTATAAGTTATCCTGGCCATCTTTCCAGTTCTTCTTCACTCTTCATTGCTCATAAAAGCATATTTTTTTGCAGTTGCTAAGGAGGTCCTCATCTGTAAAACAAATTGTCTTCTCAGAAAGGCTTTCTTCCCTGCTTTCTTGCATAACCCTTACAGTAGTTTGGTTTCAAATCTTCTTGTTTCTTTTTGGTTTGTTTTTTTTCAGAGTGGGAAAGATGGCAAAAGACAGACACTGTCATCTCTTTTAAATTAACTGCTTGGTACTGGTGAAATCAATCGGATGCATTCACTGCACGGTGAGCTATGATTAACCAGAAGCCTGACACACACAAACGACGCAAGCACTGGGAACCCTGGAGCAAAATCTCACGCTGTTGCAGCACTCTGAGAGGTTGTGCAGATATCCCAGAGTCAGCTGTCATCCCCAGTATCAGTGCCCTGACTTTCACAGGGACTATTCAGCAGTTTAAGAATTGTAGGCACCTTACCACTGCTGAGAGAAATCGAACAATGGCTTCACAGCAGGATCAGTCCCAGAGCGTTCCTTGTGAAATTACATACTTTTAAACTGAGAAAAATATATTATTTAGAGGTAATTTTTTTTTCTGCAATTGTTAGTGCTGCTTTCATTTACCGTAAAGGAGCAAGGATGCAAGAAAATGTTGCCACCCATAAGCACTGAGGAAGGAAACTACAGCAGGTTCACCTGCAGGATGGAAGCTCTGTTTAGGATACCTCTCATCTCCATGGGGATTTTTACCTGTCTTTATAGGACTATTTGATGAAAAGGGGAGCTGACAATAACGACTCAAAAGGAAATACCCAAAATAAGGTTTTTGTCTACATCCACTTTATTTGAGAAACACTGAAACACTTCCATTCGCACATACACAGAAAATTCACAGCAGCACTCTTATCAATGTTCAGATTTTCTAGGCCTGTATCCTAGAGGAATTTGAGTCTCCATCTTGGATTTTGAACTCAATTGTCATTTCTTCTATAGTGTACTCTACCAAAATTTGTTGTTCTCACTCAGACACCTATTTCTGATGTGTAGACATCCAGAAAATCACATCTGGTTTGTCTCCACATTTGCTTGTTGAAAATAAGGCTGAAAGAAGCCTTATTTGCATTAAAATCTGGACAGTCATTCACTGCAATTTCACAAAGGCTGAATTTAGTTAAAAAAGAAAGCTAGAAAGGTTCAAGTCTAATGTGAATTAAACTAAGAATCTCCACCTCAGTTAATGTTAGATGCAAACCATAGAAAAGCCACAATAAATAATTTAGATATTGTCAAGCAAAACATGCACTACCTGATAAGGGAACATTTCTTTTTTATTAACCCCTAATGGTAATTAGCTACTTACATTACTAAGAGAGCTTCTCACCTTAAAAAACTTGTACATTGATTTGCTTTGAACAGAACAAACAACAAAAAACCTCAAATCCTGTGATATTGTCAACACTGAGCCTGACAATGCAGAAGCCAGAACTTCTTTGAAGATAATAGCTCCCATTTCCCCATTAGTGTCGTTTAAAAGTTTAAATTCCTACACTGAGATTTTACAAAATTTCTTGGGTTTGTTTGCATGTTTATTTCAGGCACACGCTGAAAGTGGAGACTCAGAACTGTCATTACTTGCTTGCCTAGAAGTCCAGCCTCTCACACAGACCAATTCCAACATCCTTTCAGATATTACACACTTCCTTGACACCCAGAACTATGACCTAGTTGAAAACACCCCAAGTCAGATGTTCTGAGAATCCCATTTATGCATAAAAATACTCTCGTGGCTCCTTCCAGCCACTGGGAGAAAAAAAAAACCAACTGTCTCCAGTAACCACAGAAATCACCTCAATAGAAACATGTGCAATGCACATCAAACATTTTGAAGTCACAGGCCTGTTAGCATTCTGGTCAGGACTAAGTATATTAGGCATCACTCCAACCTGGGTAGCACTAAGGAGACTACTGTCTCGGGGGATATTTGCATAATGAGGTGCCTCAGCAGCCAAGGAGATGTGTACCTGATACTTCAGGACATGTGGTGGGCATATGTGGGAGCACCAGAGTCAGAGATACACACTTCCCATCCTCCCCCAGAGTTGCAGGCAACACCCATGATGTAGGCAAGGCGTGGACAGTCTGCTTTAACTCACATGTGGGTATGGGTAGGGGAAGACATTCTTTTCTCCCTTCTCCTTTGGTACCCAGCTGCAAGGAAATGGCCAGACACAAGTCTGAACACGCAGATCATAGAGTCCTAGAATGGTTTGGGTTGTCAGGGACCTTATAGGCCATCCAGTTCCAACCCTGCTGACATTGTCAGGGATGCCACTCACCAGACCAGGTTGCTCAGAGGTCCATCCAACTTGATCTTGAATACTTCCAGGGATGGGCTATCCACAGCTTTTCTGGGCAACCTGTTCCAGTGTCTCACCATCCTCACAGGGAAGAATTTCTTCCTAACATCTCCTCTCAACCTGCTCTCTTTCAGTTTAAAGCTATTGTGCCTTGTCCTATAACTATCTGCTCATACAAAAAGTCCCTCTCCCTCCTTTCTATAAGCCCTTTTTAGGTCCTGGAAGGTGCTGTAAATTCTCCCCAGAGCCTTCTCTTCTCCAGGCTGAAAAAGCCCAACTCTCTCAGCCTGTCTTTCTATAGCAGAGGTGCTCCAGCCCTCTGAGCATCTTTGTGGCCTCCTCAGAACCTACTCTAATAGGTCCATGTCTTTCTAATGCTGAGGCCCCCCAGACACAGACAGACAAGGGATGCAAGAGATCCCTAGAAACTTCCACGAGGGACATAGCCATTCCAGAATAAGGATGCCGGGTGAAGCCTTGGCACCACTTCTAGTTTTATCTTGAGAAGATCCCACTGGACTGCCTGAGAGGAGCTAAAGAAAGAAAGGAAATTTCAGCTGTAGTCACAATAAAGCTAAAGTATTAGTTCCAGGAATACCTCTACAAAGACCACAACAACAAATGATGGATGTTCCAGAAGAAAAGTACATAGTGTCGTGGGACTATTTTTAATCTTCAATACAAAATACAGTCTAGTGAGTCACTGGCACAGTGAAGCTGTGGTTGCCCCATCCCTGGAAGTGTTCAAGGCCTAGCTGGATGCAGTGTGACTGTGGAAAAGGAACAAAGATAATTCAGGTACTGTCCACTCTAATGCAGTGATCTAAACCCAAGATCATTCTTATTCTCTTTATAACTGATAACTGATACTGATAACATTGTGTTATTTGTAGTTCATATGAGCATTTAGGGAGGTCTTCATTGCCCATACTTTTTCTATGTGTTATTACTCAAGCATCTGGTTGAATTTTTTTTATTTTTTTTTTTAATGCATTAGCACGAATTTGAAGGAAACATGTAGGTGGTGAGCATAATGCTTCCAATTGAACTGCACTAGCAAGCACACACCACAGTAGTTTAGAGATTAAAAATAGGATCATTTGGATGTGTGGATTTGAATATGATTTATGGATCACTTCCAGAGACATTATTGTTGCTTATCATTCAGATGGCTGTAAAAGTGAAGACTGTGAGGGAAATCATGCAAGAGATACATTGCCTGCAGAATGGAGAAAAACATTAAATCTTGAAGTTGCTGATGCAGCAATTAATATTGCAACCTTCACTGCCTCCAATGCACAGAAGAAAAGGGTAGGATAGCCTAGACACCTGCTTCCCATAAATAACTGATTTCAAGACTTAAAGGGAGAGACAGGCTTAAACACTGCACACTAAAGCCCCTTTGCCTTTCATCTTGGAGGAAATGTTTAATTGGTGTAATCAGGAGTTTGTACTCAGGGCTCTCGGGTTGCACTTGCTGAACCTACAGGCCTAAAAGACTGCAAAATATCAGGGCGACCACACGTTCAGCAGGGAGGAGGCTCTGTGTTGTCCTGCTGCTGTGTGACCAGGGACACTCGGTGTCTAAAGATCTCGATTACAGAAGCAATTACAGAGGATCACAACTTTCCACAGCTGAAATTCAGAGGCAACTATTCAGACAACTACAAACATTTTTTAGTGACTTTTTTTTCTTTTGTTGCGTTGGTCCATCCAGAGCAGACTATAAGTGCCAAACAAAAGGAAGTACTGGCAAGTACTGGTTCTCCTTAGTTTGCTTTAAACAGTGGGCTAACTCCACTGGTTTCAGCAAAGCTCACCCTGATTTACAACAGCATAAGTGAGACTAGGATCATGTTGTTCATGTTTTACGTCCATCACTGTGAGGACAAAAAAAAATGAGACCTTTGCTTTGGCATACCCTTTCTGACATGATGAAAAAGGTTGTAAAGCACATTAATTCCTCAAAGCAGCTGATGTGTGGACACAGTCAACTCCATACAGAAACCAGTAGATTTAAATATACATGCAAATACATGCATGCAAATAATTGTCAGAATAAAATCTCAGACGCATTTGACCAGCACATCAATATCCTTACCTCCTTAACGGATGCTGTTTTGCTGAGAAAATGATGGCTCCTTAGCCAACAGTCATGGTTACTCTTAAATAATTTCTTTTTCACCTATGAGTTCATAAAGTTCAAATGAGACTTTTTTAACCTCACACATTTGCTATTTGTGAGTTGGTTAATAAAAGTAATTATCAATATTCTCACAGAACTGGAGTGAAAATTTAAACTCTTTTGTGCGCAGAGAAAAATTGTGCATGTTCACCAAGAAATTTTATTTCTTTTGAGAAATATCCCGATGACTGTAAAGTTAATAAGCCATTTCCAAACTGAGAAAGGGCTTGAGAGAGGGAAATAGACTTTGCTCAAAAACATGAAGTATAGCTGTCTCACAACCAGCTGTGAAGGTCAGAAGTTAATTAAGGAATGCATGTTTGCAAACTTTTAATTAAAGGGGCCAGTGTGCTAAAAGGGCAATCTAAGAATGAAATATAATAATAAGCCTAATTCAGCCTTACTGTAGATCTCCACTGGTGTGACATGTTTGGGAAACTGGAGTACGCACAAAGGGATGGACAAGGTTAATTGTGGTATAACCAGAATTATGGTCATATTATCCATAGTGTGGAGATCAGTACAGGACACAGTACAATACATGAGGATATAAATACACCAAACTTTACTCTAACTGCCTTCCTAGAGCCCAACAGTACAACCCTGATGTGAACTCAAACATTGTCAGTTTCGACCTGCCTCTTCCAGCAAGATCAGGCTCAGCAACATATTATCAATGTGATGAACTCTGGATCTGGTGGATTTTTGGATTAATGAGGACATCCCATCTTCCTGAGGTGTGAAGAGAAGAAGCTCAGAGTAGTCACCCCCTTGTGCAGAGACGGGGAGCAGCACAGTCCCAGCTGCTCGGTAGCAAGAGAGTGGAAAGCAAGTGGCACACTTTGGGAACTCTGTATCTTCAGCTGTACCCAGAGCACACCAGTTCTGCTGGCTGCATTTTAAGGGGCTGTCGTATGACCACTGATCTGCTGGGCACATTTTCCTCAGTTCTGATGCCAACTGAAACAAAAAGTGTACCTCCCTCAGCAGAATGTTTAGAGTTTTGTTCAAATTAGGGTTGAAGTGCTTGGCCAACAGATAGCAAAGGGCTGCACACCCAGCACAGAGGACACAAGACTATCAGGAAGGCTTCCCCCACTCCAAAAAAAAACCAACAAAAAACCCAACCAACCAACCAAAAACCCAAAACAAAACAAACAATAAAACCCCACACAATCAAAACCAAAAAAAAAAAAAAAAACCCACAAAAAAATCCACAAAACAATACAGAAAGTCCTAGTTCGTTTAATTAATTGTCCACTGTCCACTTACTTAAGGGACCTCGTTACAAATATATCCTCATCACAATGACAGGAAATCTATCTGAAAAGTCTGCAAAAAGGCTATTAATGAAGAGAGTTTCTAATGCCTATGAGCTGAAATACCTTTTCACTCCTTTCGCCAGTAGTTCCTGTGGGTCATTTCTGGGGTCAGCAGTGGTGTGCAGAGTAAAGACTCTGCCAGTGCTGGAGAAGGAAAAAAAAAAAAGAAGAAAAAAGTATTTCAGTATTGTCAATCTTTTATCCTTGAACGATACACTAGAGGCTGACATTTAATACCCTAAGGATATAGATGTTTGAAAGCTGGTTATTGTAACAAAGGAAACCATCCAAACTCTGCAAGACCAAATGGATCAGATAAAGCTGACACTGAGATAAATCTGTTTTACATCCATTCTTGCAAAAGTTTTGCTAATCTATGTAGTTATAGCTTTCCTGGAGCAAAAGGAGAGAGGAAAAAAAAAAGAACCCTCCATTACAGCAAGTCAACATGTTGCCCCTATTTGTAATCTCCAAAGTGTAATGTCATGGTTAGAGAACATTTTTCTCCTGGATCTTGGGTGAACTCTACTAAAATGAGAAAGATAAAGAAAAAATTGAGAAAAAAACACAGAGAGTGAGAGAGGGCATGAGGACAAACATGCATGCTCTTTCTGGTTGAACTTCCATGTTAACATAGTTTCTGTTTGTTTAACACATGAATTCAGATCTTTCATAGACACATACTCATCTTCCAACCAGTCAGAAACCTTAACACCCACTCTTCATTATCCGGTATTTATACCGCCAGATTGGACTTTCATATGGAAGCCTGGAGCAATGCTGGTACAGATGGCAAGATGACTCCGAAGAGATTGATGACTCTGAAGAAATACACAGTATTAAGTCAGAAGGTGCAAATGTTAACATTCCAATGCAGAAAAGAAATATTCCTTGCATACACTTCCCAGGTTTGTTTTCTCATGCATTACAAAGAGAAAGAAAAAGCCCTCGACACACCTTGTAGCTGGCAAATGAATGATAAAATTACTTCAGGTTTTTTTGTATGTCAACTGTTCATGCCTCAGGTACTTAACCTTTACTTTAAAAACATGGTTCAGATCCTAGCCTTGAAGGTAGGTGGGAAGAGGGGGGATGGTATTCCTGTAAATGTTTCATTTAACAAAGGCAGTTCTATAAGAAAGTTCAGTGGTGAGACTCTGAATGGTATTTATTGTTTCAGATTTCAGGGCTTCCATACATCTGCTGCCCGTCAAAGGCAGATACCACATTCATATTAAGTGCCCTGTCTGAAAAAAAAAAAAAAAGCAGCACTCTCTTCTCCACGGCTCAGCCTCCAGGATTATGTGAGATGGGAAGCTGCAGGAAGTCAAAGTTCTAATTTGCTGTAAAGATGATCAACAAGAAAATCTCCTGTTATAAAGGGGAAGGGAAATTTTACTTATCTTTCTACATTCATGGATCCAGATTCAGAAAAGCTCTTAACACGTTCTTCTGTGTCTCCATGCTCAGCAAAGTGTCTAAGAACTTAGCTGAAGCAGAGACCTAAAGAAGAACCATTTATATTTACACTAACTAAGCAGCTCATTTTACCAGGCCCATTACACGATTTCTGACTTTATTAGGTCTGTAATGTATATTTCACCCATGGTGAGAAACATGCTCATTCATTTCTTATGATATCATAGTCTTCTCCATGGTAATCTGGTGCTATGTGAAGAAAAACAATAGAAGAGAAAACTTTTCATGCCAAGATGAAGACAGATAAGGAATTATGTTCAGCTGGGTGGGAGAATATATAAGAGGAACAAAACCACTGGTTCTGAGGATCTGATTTATTTAGTATCTGGCATTGGCCATAAAGTGTGGGCAATGAAAAGCGTAGCTGACCTCAATGCCTCCTTAGCAGCAATCAGAAATTCATTTCAGTGTGTGAGCATTTAATTAGCTTCACTGAGTTTACAAGACCTTCAGTCATTTTAAGATACTCGAGGCAACTACCCCACACATAAGATTACCCTGAATCTGGAATGCCAGCCACTTAGGAAGAATGTCTGGAGAGTTTTAATTGAAGGGGATTCCTTTGTTTTTATATCCATTTGATGTGCCATTACCATTTCCTCCACCACTAATTTACACCAAGGGACTCAACTATTCCAAACAATTGTTTTAATCAGTAAATTACAGAAAAACCTTCAAGAAAGTTTAAGGTTGTCTGTGTCTAGGAAAAGTCAAATGGTACTATTAAATTTTTACAGCTAATCTAATTGTTACACAGTGCAGTCACTGTACCACTTCAGGCATCTGGGGAAAGTCATCACTTTCTCCCTTCTTTTACAAAGGACCTGAAATGTATTTGCTGCATGCATTTATTGCACGCATACAGTAAATATATATGGAGTGGGATTAACTAACAGGAGGCAATTACTAATTTTATTATGGCTTCACGAGGTCTGTATATCAAGCTCCTCTCCCTGGCAGGGATGAGGAATTGCTAAATACAGCTAATTTCTGGGCTGATCTTATTTATATACCGGACGCTAATCCTCTTCACATATCTCATGTGCTTCTTTCTTCTCAGAGATATTGTCCCTCAGTGACGTCCTCCTAGCATTTCATTAAATGCCTTCAGCCTCAGTAAATTACAGTGCTTTAAAAACATTGAGTTTAGCATTTAAAAAGAGAGAGAGAGTTTCTGTACGCTGCCATGGGATAAGGTGCAGTGAAAATCCCATACAAGCTAACTGTACTTCCTAATCAAATGGGTGTAACAGATGGCTGCTAGAGCAAGCCATCACAATGGAAATATCTGCAGTTCTCATGGTAACGGAATCTGCCAGGTCTGAGGGATTTGCTGTTTTCCAGGACATCTGAGCTGCAATCTCTTTCGAGCTGTCTAGCAGTCTCAGTCTCGCTCTCTCTCACTCTCTCAGCATGATGGAGATAGAGTTGAAAGGTGGAGCCTGATTTTGCATTCCAGCTGTGATTAAAGACATGCACACACAAATGCACACATATGCACACATACACACACACACACACACACACACAGAATCAATGGGACTGCATATTCATTATGCTATCTAGAACCTCATTAACCACTCAGCCAGAACAGCAAGAAAATTTTAATATTCCTCCGTCTTTAGAGAGGGAAAGAAAGAAGTGTAATGGGAGAGAGGGGGGAGAGAGGAAGATAGCATGTGTGTGGGGAATTAAGATTCATGAGACGTACCTTTTAATAAAGATATGGAGCAATGTTAAAACTAGCAGTTGTTTCCATTTCATGGCAGTATGTCAAGATGACTTAACATAGCAGAGTGAAACATCTGGCCTGAAAAAAAAATAAAATCATTATGTTGAATTTCCAAAACATAATATAGAATCTATGGAAGAAGGAGAAGAAAAAGAAAAAAATATAGCAACTGCGTACCTTAATACTAAGTAAAAGCATGTGACAGACCTCCTGGTACTGTGTAATTAGAAAGGTGATCCTTCTCATAAGGTGTAGGATAGCATAAAGACAAAGAGCTTTAATTATAAATCTAAAGAATTGGGTTTAAATCCATAGGGCTCTCTTAAAAGGTTCTTATATTTCTGCATGCAATTCAGAATCATCAGCAGGAAGAAAATAATCATTCATGAGACTTTAATAAAAGTCCTTTCCTTCAAATCCCTATCAATTTAAAGAAACAAGAAGAAGCATATTGCCTTCTTTGCTAGACTACCTGCTAGAAAGCACACAGAGAGTTGATTCACAGCTGCCTATTCTCTTGGGTATTTGAGCCTGAAGATCAGACAACATGTAAGAATTCAGCCGTGGCTCAAAATGGAAACAAAGACGACTATTCTTAAAGCAATGTGAAATGAAAAACTACAGGCTGTAGACTGCAGACCTTAGCATGCTGATCCACCACATTGTCCTTGAGGGTACTAAAGTTAAATACATGTGACAGCCAAAGAGATGGGAAAAATGCTTTCCAGAATAAAATGACCCAATCTCCTTTTTTTTCATGATGTAGAATAAGCCAGGAAATATAAGCTCCTCAAGTACCCACTCAAGAACTGGGTATTTTAAGATGGTGTTGCCTACCTAATTGTGCACCACTGAAGAACATTTTTATGTAACCTTTTCTCTGCCACAAGTCTATTCCTCTGCAGTAATGACTTCTGGATAAGAGATTTAATTCTTATGTTGGGTTGATTAGTTTCAAATAGATATCTAGAGTTCACTTGCAACAGTTCTGTGACAGGCCTCTTGAGAGGCCTCCAAACCTGTTAACTAGCTAGAAATAGCTGTTGCTGGCAAGAAAAGATGGCTGCAACAACAACAGCTAAATAGAGATAATAGTTTGCATTCAGCACCAAAACATACAGCAATATGAGGGGTACAGACAGTCATGTCTGCTCACAGTGAGCAACGACTTAATCCACAAGCAGTTCCTCACAGTGCAGTAGGGCTCCTCATGCTGCAAGGTGCAGGGTTCCTTAGCGTGAGTTAGCAGCACTCAAATCCATGTCTACTGTCTGCGACTTCTGTGCAAACTAAATAACACATTTATTGTGTTGTTCTTCACCTGACTATGAGAGGCAGCCACCCCTGGACTGACTTTCAAAAGTATGTCACATTCAACTGAGTCAGTAGAAGATTTCAGTTCCTTTCTTAAAATACAGCAGTCATTTGCAACTGGAAAAATGGTGCATAATCGGTTCTGGTTGGGATGAGGGGGTTATAAAAGAACATATACAAGTAGTTCTGTTCATCCTCCCACTATATGAGGTACTGTGTGTCTGTGTTTCCCCACAAAGTCAATTAAGATTCACAATGCCATGGGCACACATACCTTTCTTTATGTTGCATTCAGCACTATTGTAGACACAAATTCTGCAAATACAGCCTCAATGTGGTTGGTTAAAAATTATTTTTCACTCAACTTGGAATACATCTAGGGCTAAGCAGCAACCATCCCAGCCTTAGTAATGATGCAAGAAACCAAGAAACTCTCTTACACATTCTTACTTGATAAAGCAGCCCTCCAAGTAACTAACTGTTCAACATCGTACTGCACTGCTACTACTGTCCTGCTGATATTTATTCAGAGACCAGAGTGTTCCTTGCTGCACGGTTTGTTGAAAGTTCTGACTCAGACTACATTTGTGTGCTGTGCAGTGTGATCAATGGCGCTTCAAGCCATGGAGCCTCACACACAGAATTTATCCATTCCTGCGATCTATTAGCTTCTCCTCAAGCAGCTAATCTTAGCACACACATGAAACACAAGTCTACTTGCACAGAGCTCGCTTCTCTAGACATCATTTCCTTCCATTCAGAAACACTGTGTTGGTAAGTAATTTTTACTGTCATCTGACAACTTCTCTTGCCCATTGTTCACAGATGGTTCACTTATATGCATTCCTTAGCAGGAAGCCTGTCCCTCAACCTGCTCACCCTACTTGCTTTGTGCCTTAAGCACTATGACTCTACCAGATTACCAAGTCTACTCATTTCTGCTATGCTTCTCGAATATGACATTCCTTGGAGATCAGGACAACAAGAAAGCCTCCTTGACTGTCTAAAAGTCTTTCTTTACCCCAGTCAGAGATCGAACATCCGATCTTCAACATTAGCAAACTGTACCGGATACGGCATCTGGGTATCTCTTGCATCCAGTGTCAATCATGCCTTCCTAAAACATTGTCCATCTTGAGCCCTGATACACCCTTTCTGCTGGGATAACTCCATCATGTACCTCTGATGCAGGAGATCTAGTGACTCCAGCAGACCTC